GTGCACGCTAGTGACTGCTCGGCTGCCGGTCTACGAACACGATCGGTCAGTGCAAAGTCGGCTAGATTGAACTACGTCGCTGTATCGTCCACGCTCACCGCACCATGCGGAGATAACTGCTGCAATGGGAGCTAGGCTGCGGGCTAGGCACGGGTGCTCGTGTGATCTCTACGTTCGTTCGTTCCTTAGTCGTTTCCTTGTGCGCACACACTTGCTAGTTCACAGGGAAAGTTGGCAAGAGTTCCACTAGGAACAATTCAGAACAAAGGGTTTACAACAACATTGGCAACACATACTACATCAGAGCTAGCTAGGCTGCTGGTCGACCTCTAGCGCAGCATGGTCGACCGCGCTCCAGCGCAGCAGTGCTCGCACCGCTCCAGCGTTGCAGAGTAGCGGTTCGCCAATGTTGCAAGTCCACGGTGTGCCAACGCTGCAGCAAGTCGGCTGCACAGCGTTGCACCCGCAGGACAACGGTGCACCTGCCTCGCAGGTGTGCGCAGCTGATTGGCGCTCCACACCTTGTCACGAGCACAGCGCAGACGCCTGGCAGACTCCACGCCAGCGACTGCACCCACCAGCCACGTCGACCTCGGGATACCACCCTCGAGGTCGGCCTCGCAGACTTCACCCCGGCGACACTTGCGCACGTCGCCCGGGTATCCCGGTCGACCGGGCAACCACGCCTGGCCGACCAGCGCAGTCCGAAGCCGGCCACGCATGCCCGGCGTCTCCAGTCCTTTGTCCAGGCGCCCAAGACACCGTTCGAACCCCCAGGTCGGCGTCTGACCTCCCAGGACTCCCAGGTCGGCGTCCTGGCCCCCAGGACGCCGTGCAGGCGCCCACGACGTTGACCAGGCGCCCAGGAAGTCGTACCGACGCCCAGGTCGGCGTCCAGCTTCTCAGGACGCCGTCCAGGCGTCCAGGACGCCAACCAGGCTTCCAGGGCGGCGTCCTCCTGCTCGGCGCCCTCCAGCCAGGCGCCCTCCAGCTCGGCGCCCTTGCAGTGGCCCCCGTGCCCACTGCTGCAGGTCGGCTGCAACCCCCGCACACCCGACCACAAGGTCGGTTCCGCCTAAGCAAGGACGGGGCCACACAACACTCCCGTTGACATCGTGCTTCCACCCCTGAGCGTCGAGAGCCTGAGTCTAGCTTTGACCTTGAGCCTGAGCCTAGAGTTGCTGTCCGTGCTCGTGTTCCTCGTGTTCGTCGTCCGCGTGCTCCGGCTGTCCCCGGCACTCACGATATGACACTCCCTCCTTCCTCTGTTCCTCAGCGTGTTGTCCTACCGTTACCTCCTGCGTCCTCTCTACCTGACGTTCATGACCCTCCGTCTGACCTTGCTCGTGCGTCCAGTCCGACTGTTACTCGCCTTCTTGCTACGGTTGTGACAGACCCTACGTTCTCGTCTCCTGCTGCGTCTGCCCTAGTAGCTGAGCTCGTTGACTTTGCTGCTGTGTACCGCCTAGACTACCTTGCGAGTCTTGTCTCTGCCCCTGTCCCTGCCTGTCCTCCGTCCGTCGGGGGTGAGACTGCTCTTGGCTGTACTGCCCTTGGCTGTGACGTTCTTGAGGACAGACAGGAGGAGCTGGAGTGCCTTGCTGCCGCTTCACCCCATCACGTGACCATGCTGCTTGCCCCTGAGGGAGACCCGGATGCACCAGACATCCCCACCCCGCGCTCCTACAGGGAGGCGATTTTGGGTGAGTACTCCTCTCAGTGGCAGACAGCCATGGACGCAGAGATGGCTTCCTGGAAGTCCACAGGCACCTACGTCGACGAGGTTCCCCCACCTGGGGCGAACATCGTCAGTGGCATGTGGATTTTCGGGGTGAAGCAGCCGCCAGGTTCTCCGCCTGCCTTCAAGGCACGTTACGTTGCTCGAGGCTTCAGTCAGCGTGAGGGGGTCGACTTCTTTCAGACCTTCTCCCCCACCCCGAAGATGACCACTCTTCGGGTGTTGCTACACGTTGCAGCTCAGCGTGACTACGAGCTGCACTCCCTCGACTTCTCGATAGCTGTCTTGCAGGGTAGCCTTCACGAGGCCATCTGGTTGCGCCGTCCACACGGCTTCACTGGGTCGTTTCCTGAGGGTACCCATTGGAGCCTACGGCGACCAGTGTACGGCCTGCGTCAGGCGCCCCGTGAGTGGCACGACACACTGAGGACGACACTTGCGGCTCTTGGGTTTGCTCCTTCGACTGCTGACCCGTCGCAGTTTCTACGCACCGACACTACCCTGCCGCCGTTCTACATCCTCGTGTACGTCGACGACTTGGTTTTTGCTACTGCTGACTCTGAGGCACTGGCCCTAGTGAAGGCGGAGCTGCAGGAGAGACACACCTGCACTGACCTGGGTGAGCTGCGGAGCTATCTTGGCTTGCAGATCACCCAGGACAGACCACGGCGCACCATCACCCTCACTCAGTCACACATGGTGCACCAGGTCCTTCAGCGCTTCCGCTTCACGTACTCCTCGCCACAGCCCACTCCTCTGGCTATCGGCCACTCGCTCTCAGCTCCACCTTCGGACGAGTCCGTAGAGCCGAGTGGTCCGTACCCAGAGCTTGTGGGCTGCCTCATGTACCTGATGACGTGCACACGACCTGACCTCGCGTACCCTCTCAGCCTTCTTGCTCGCTACGTGGCACCCGGTAGGCACCGAAAGGTGCACTTTGATGCTGCGAAGAGGGTACTGGGTTACTTGTGCAGCACATCGAGCATGGGGCTCGTGCTTGGAGGACGGGGTTCGGTGGTCCTCACAGGACACTCTGACGCTTCTTGGGCCGACGACCAGGCGACTCAGCGTTCGTCACAGAGCTACACCTTCAGTCTTGTCGCTGATTCTGTCTCATGGAGGTCCACTCGTTCTTCTTCTGTGCTTGGTTCCAGCTGTGAGGCCGAGATCTACGCTGGGGCCATGGTTGCACAGGAGCTCCGCTGGCTGACCTACCTACTGACCGACTTGGGGGAGCGGCCTCGTTCTCCTCCAGTTCTGTACGTCGACAACAAGGCAATGCTTGCCTTGTGTCGCAACCAGAGACTGGAGCACCGAACGAAGCACATTCCTCTTCGCTACTTGCGCGTGAGCTGCAGCAGCGTGGTCAGCTGCGCCTTGCTTTCGTGGCCTCTCGGGCCAACACTGCTGATGTCTTCACGAAGGCCCTTGGGGCTGGTGATCATCAGCCTTTGTGCACTGCTCTTGGGCTTGTGCCCACTCTGCCTCACCTGCTGGTTGCTTGACTTGTTCTTGCTGTACACTGCTATATATCTTTATACCTGCATGTTTTCTCTTGCTAGGTTGCGATCAGTGTACTGCCTTGCTATTATATACCTCTGCATGTGAACTGGCCTTGTGGCCACTTTCTTGTGCACAGAATGCGTGGTGACTTTGTGATCCACCCTGGGCTGTGTTCTCTTCTGCAGACTGGTCTTGTGACCGCTTATTGTGTTTGCTATCCCCTACTTTGCCTATGGGGGTGTGTCAAATTGCAATTGTATCTCTAGGCTACAGTAGGGTCACTCCTTAGTGAGTACAACACTTTAGGGTTAGCTTTCCCCTACTTGTACTCACCTCTTGCCTAGTTCAATCATTCACTCCTAGTTCGATTCTTGACACAGAGGGCAAGTGAGGAGGAGGAGGAAACTGGAGAGGAGACGAGGTGGGCGGCTGCTGAAGCTGCTGGCACTGGTCGCAAACGGCGTAACTGGCTCTGCTCGGCGGCAAGAGCAACTGACCCTCTGGGGACCGGAGCAACGGGTAACCGGAGTAACTGGTTTGCTCGCCGGCAAGAGCAACTGACCCACGGGCCTCTGACGCAACGGTCTCACGGGCGACTAGAGCTGCGGACTTCACGACGGCTGCCTCCGTTCAACCTCCCCCCATTGCCCCAAACCCCCTTGTCACATCCCCCTCTGCATCCCTAGCACCACTCCCCCAACTCCCACACCATCCCCCCCTCAACGGCAGCTGCAGCAGTGGGAGAGAAAGGAGGAGGAGGAGCAACCGACCACTCACACCCGCCACCCCCATACCCTCCCCCCACGGCTGCACGCACAGCAGGGAGATGAAGGAGAAGAAGGGGGGCGGAGGAGCGGGGTAGGAGCTGCCCCGCGACTGCAGGGGCAGGCGCACGGGCTGCATAGGTGGCGCACGGGCTGCAGGGGCAGCGCACAGGCTGCAGGGGTGGTTCGCGGGCTGCAGGGGCGGCTCGCTGGCTGAAAACCGCCGCCCTCCCGAGGCGCGCGGGTCCCACGGGGGCGGCGCGTGGGTCCCACAGGCGACACGCGGGTCCACGGGGGCGACGCGCGGGTCCCACGGGGACGACGCGCGGGTCCACGGGGGCGATGCGCGGCGCCACGGGAGCGACGCGCGGGTCCCACGGGGCGGCGCGACGGCTGCACGGGGCGGCGCGCCGAGCAGAAGACCGCCGCGCGCCCCGGGGCGCGCGGGGGGAAGAAAAACCGCCGCGCACCACGGGGCGTGCGGCGGGCTGAAAAATGTCACGCGCCCGGGGCGCGCGACTAACAGGATAGCAGCGGAAGCAGTAGGGCCCATCCACAGAATCGACTAAGGAGGGTCGACCTGCTCTAATAGCATGTTAAAACTAGGCGATAAGAAGGAATGGTAGAAGAGGGGTTTGCACTAGCAGGCAGGTGGGATACATGTAGGAACCCTAAAAGGGTTGTACTCTCTGTTGAGTACCCCACTACAGCCTACAGAGCAAATTACAATTTGACACCGGCCGTCAAGATGGCCACGTCATGGGGCCCATGAGCACCCCATCTTGTCACAGTACCAGCAGAGGCACTAGACGTGGTGCACTAGGGTTTCACGTCTCTCAGTCTGCCGAGCACGGGAGGCCGCAAGCCTCAAAACTCTCTGTTCCCAGTCTCAGATCCAGATCTGCCACTCTAGCTTTCTTCGCCTGTACAAAGCACGCTATGGCGACTGCCACTCCAGCAATCAGGTGCCATTAGAACCGTAGCAGCTTGTAATAATGTCCGTTTTCGAGAGCCCATGGCGTTCGCGCCGTTGGAGCTTAGGCAGCTCGTCTGGCCAACCAACTGCCGTGCTCATCACAAGCCTGGCCCCGCCAGCTCCACCTGCACCTCCTGCACCTCCGCCCCCCCCGACTCCCCTTGCGCCTCCTACGCCCCCTCTGCTTCCTCCGGCCTTGATCGACTGGCGCACCAACCCTCCGTTAGAACCGGTCGAGGGCGAGGGGTTTCCCGAGCCCGAACCCGAGGATGAGGAGAACGCGGCGACCGAGGAGATGGACGACGACGACACGCCTGGGCCTCTCCATCCGCGTGAAGACGAAGATGGGCCAGCGTATTGCTAAAGGTTAGCCTTTCTTTCACTCCGCGGCCTCTCGGTGCTTCCATACATTGCTCGAAGGCAAATGACATTAATCTCCTACCCACTGCTGTTACTTATGCTCACTATCTGGATGTGTGCGTTCGTGGCAGAGTGCAAGCCGGAGTGCTTGTAGTTTTGGGCGTTCACACGGAAGAACATCATCAAGCATGGCATCGACTCTTGGAACATCGTAAACGCCGACCAAACGCCAGTGTTCTTGGAGATGCCGAACGAGCGCACCCATCATCACCGCGGTGAGAAGACGGTGCACGTCAGGAGCGCGGGCTATGAGAAGGAGAGGGTGACGGTGATGCTCGGCATCACCGCGGACGGCCGCAAGCTCCCTGCCATGGTTATCTTCAAGCGCAATACTATCCCGAAGGTTCGGGTCCTTGCAGGTGAGTTTCTCCGGATTCACGCTTCAGTTTCGTCCGTGATTGTGGCGGATTTATAACCACGACTGTCGTTTCTTGTGCAGGAGTCATCATCTGTGCACAGGCAAAGGGATGGATGGATGCCGAGCTTGTGGATGATTGGGTGAACAACATCCTCATGCCCTTCATCAAGCCTCCGCACTGCATCCAACGGTCCAAGACCCTTCTGGTCCTGGACTCGTATCGGGGCCACCTCACCGATGGCGTGCTCACCAACCTGAAGTGGAACCGAGTAATCCCGGCCATCATCCCCGGGGGCTGCACCCCACTGCTGTAGCCCCTTGACGTGAGCGCGAATCGCTTGTTCAAGGCTCTGCTGCGTGAGATGTGCAACAATTGGTTTGCCGAGATCGGCATCGACACCTTCATGAAGGCCGGTGAGTTGGATTGCGGAGGAGGAGGAGGAGGAGGAGGAGGAGGTGGAGGAGGAGGTGGAGGAGGAGGAGGAGGGTGGGCTGGAGGAGGACGCGGACGAAGCGTGAGGAGTAGGGGAGTGGTAGAGATGTTTGGGCCAGTAAAATAGAGAGTCTAATGGTGCAGTAGCCACCCAGACCTTGTAATGCCTAGATCTAGTGACATGGAAGTGAAGAGATGTGTGTGTAGGTTTAACAGTTAAGTTCACCAGATTGGAAATGGCACTTAAGGGAAGGGGGGGGGGGGGGGGGTCTTATGATGATTAGAGGCAAAGGGGGGGTCTTCACAAAACCTGCCACAATAAGAGTCCCTTTACCCATTCAAGAGTCCCCGGAAACCTTCTTACCGGCGGGTCTTATAGCCGGCACTATATGGTACAAAGTCTATAAAATATGAAGCGGTAGATTTACAAGTTTCGAATACGGTGTTCGTCTTGCCCGTCGTATTCTCCTGCACATATGACCCCCAGTCACGGCTTTTGTCATCACGTGAAATTGGCATGGTGGTAAGTTTTCTAAATTATACCTTCAAATTACTCACACGTCAACTACCATATGGCCCCGGATATAAGCGCAGGTGTGCTTATATTTAAATAGGATTTTTAGGGGGAGCTCTTCTACTTGAGTAAAAAGTATAGGCGCATGCGCATGTACAATGTATTTACAAAAAAAAAAACAAAAAAAAAGATACGAAATTGAAGCTTCTAGTAAGGCGAACACACCCGAATGTTGTTCACGTGGGTTCGTGCCTGAAAAACCGTGTGAAACCGGCCGCAATTCAGTTTCCCACCGCACAATTCAGTTAAGAAGCATCGAACCTACCAGCCCTGACTAAAAAAATGCCTTGCAGCCCAATCACAGAATCATGCGCTCCCATCGTGGTGTAATCGAGCCGAACCCTCTAGAAGAGGGTAAAATATTCCCTGCCAGCGCAGCGGATATCATGCCGCGCAGGGTCCTCTGTGTTGGAAGTACAAAACATAAAGAAACACATATGCTGTTTGATTTTACTGCAATCTCTCTTATAAGGCTCTTCGTTGTGCAATAATTGCACAATTATTGTAGTGGCTAAGTTATTGGAGTCTAGAGTAACGAGGGTATAATTATTGCCACTCTTTTATTGGAGTTGGCATTATTGGTGTGGATGGGTGGACTATAAAAGGGGTGACTGCATAGATAAATACATTTGCTCTGGGATGCCATAGTCAATCCATTATTCTAAATCCATTCTATTCCAACTTTATTGGTTTATTCTGTTCTACAAATCGTTTTCGCTACGCTGTCACTATGCCTTTCTAGCATGGTATCAACGCTACGCGATGAGGCTTGCTGCCAAAATTTGGTCAAAACCTTTATCATTCATATTTGACAAGGATATCAGCAAGTTAGCATAGCTAAAAACAACTCTCTGGGCCAACGTAACGGCGCGGTTCGATGGTGAAGTTGATGCTGGATACGAGGCCTTTGAAGAGGCCATCATGGCTCAATACGAGCACCTGGAAAGCATGATCACAAAGGCACCACCACCGGCACTTCAAGCATAATTGAAGGCAAAGTTTGACATGTTTATCCAACCAGAATTTAGCAACCCATCCACTCGTGGGCATTCCCATTCAAACACTCCATGTACTAATCAAACTCATGCTTCAAATGTGCATGCAGGAATTGAAGGTGAAAAGGAGGAAAGCATACCCCAAGAAGAAGAGTCATCCTAAGGGAGGGATGCATCTTTCCAAGCACCCCGCACCTCAATCAACCATGCAAAGAGAAGCAAAGAGGAGGGATGATCCGTACGGGAGTGGAATGGATGTAAGGGAGCATGGTGATGGGATTGGCGGGGGAAGGAACATGAGAGGGCAGATTTGACAAGGTCGTGGCAGAATAGGTCAAGTGGGCGTGGAAGGTGTGGGATTTGAGTCCTACACTATTGGTGCTCCCCCAGTACGACACCTTGCCACTAACTCTCATCCGGTTGGAGTTCCCATAATGGCCAGATCTCATCTCTTTGGCGACAATACCGCACCTCCTCGTGCGCCACGTTCTCAAATGAGAGCTGTACTTGCAAGGAGCATGGGACGCATGGAGCACAAAATGCAAACGAGCGGAGTTATGCGCCGTGACCAAGTGGAGGTGCTGGAACATCAATCCGGAGGTCAACATGGAGGCACGCAACGCACAGTTCAACTGCTACGTCCGTCTACCATGCCTACCCTCTTCGACCCTGCGCCACTAGAGTACACGGAAGAAGACAAAGACCGTCTACCAAAGAAGATGGTGGGAGCAGGAGTGGACAAAACATTAAATACTACCGTATTCCCCCGTATATAAGACCCGTCGGTAAGGCAGTCCCCTGGGACTCTTATGCGGAAGAGGGACTCTGATTTGGGCAGGTTTTGTGAGGTACAATTACTAGATTTTACTTGCGAGTCAGCTTTAATAGGGAATTTGTAAATTTCGGACGCGACTTTTGTGTCAGACTTGAAGTCTGACAAGCGCATCGCGTCAGACCTTCGATCTGATGCGCGACTCTCGATTGTGGCACTAAGATGTGGTTTTCATTGTTTCGATTATAAGACCCCCCTACCCTAAACCCCCTACATTTACTCACTGTAGTCATAAATTAAGTGTACACGGGTCTTAAAATTTTCCTACTACCGTGTAGATGTTCACCTAAGCATTTTCCTATCGATTTGTTGGAAGTCCCACGTGTCCTATATATGGGGGAATACGGTACTCCATTCGACGGAACTAACTTCTGGGAGTGGCCACTACGGTTTCGCATGAACGCTTGCGTAACAAACTTGTGGGAATTCTTTTTTACTCTTCAATACGCGGTTTCCATGGCAAATGGTGACATGCAAGATGCGATGTAGCGGCTGAAAATCTTGCAAGCGGACTACTCACAACGTGCAACGTTAGCGTTTTGGGTGCTACCGAATAGTGTGAGCGCAACGATCCAGCTACAATTAAATGTATTTAAGGAATTATACAGCCTGACATTTGAAGCATGGGAGTACCTCATGGACACTTACAGTGCCATGCCAAGGATTCGGTGGCAAAGCTCTATATGCTGAAAATGGGAATTCACTAAAACTAACCATGACATACGACCTCCCCGCATGGCTGGTGAAGCGAGTAGAGACGACTCACCTGCAAAGGAGGGCACCGAGGTGATAATGTCAGTAAACCTACATTGTGGATCCCCGGTTGATCTTAGGGGGGTCACATGCATGTTAGCCTTGGGGGGGGGGTGTTGGGTGCATTGAGCCGCATTTGGAATAAGCCATTTTATCCCACTGGTCTAGTGGCTGAGATTTTGACATGGTATCAGAGCGAAGGTCTCGGGTTCGAATCCCGGTGTATGCACATGCAGGCCGTTGCCGCTGTGCCGTGTCCTGGGCCTCCCAGCGAGGGGGGTGTCAGTAGCCCTACATTGTGGATCCCTGATTGATCCTAGGGAAGGGTTACAAGCGCGTTCGCCTGGGGGGTTATGGGCGCACGGACCCACTAATCAACAAGCCTTTTTACCCCAGTGGTCCAGTGGCTGGGATTTTTACAGATAAAACATTACCGTTCTCCTCAAAGCAATCCAGCAATTTGTCGCTCGTTGCCATGTGGAGAAAATTGCCAGCATAGGCAACGAGGAGAATCTAGTCGCCACTGTATTCCAGTCAGTACATGCATTAGTCACAAAGAAGTTGTTGGAAGCCGAGTGAGATAAGGACGGCATGTAAGACCGCTGCCACAGACGTGGGGCCTGCTGATGACATATATTGAATTCAAGAGTAGGCAGACCTGCAATGTGTCATTTTTTAATGTGTGATCTTCTACACGCAGATGATTGCGACAATGATCGCATAGAGGAAGACTTTCTTTGCGTCAATATAGCGCAGACTGAGATGCTTTGCAGGTTATAATCTGTACAAGGGCAAACACACAAGTTGAGACACAACGCTGGGTCTTGCGACCCTACCGTGCGACTGTGACGTGCAGCGTTATGTGCCAACTTGCAGGGTGTGTGTCATGAAATCAACACGCCAATGACTTGCCGGGCATCTGCAACCATTCGAACCACCCGCACGATCCTGATAACATGTTGCGATGAACTTCGACACAAGCCTCCCTGTTGGCGTATCACACATCATCGTCGACCGCCTTAAGAAAATGGCTCACTTTGCGCAATATCATATGAAAATCACTGTTGAAGGAACCACCTGATGTTCTATCTCGATGTAGTTTGATTGTGCGACATTGCATCTACGATCATCAGCAACCTTTGACCCGAAGTGCATGTCACAGTTCTTGGCATATATTGGAAACCAGCTAATGTTTTCATATGAAAACCATTCATAGACCAATGGACAAACAGGGCTCTCTAGTCAGACGATGGAGCAACTCATCCCGGTCCCATTTGTTGGGAATAATTCCTTCCGATGCTGGAATTTGCATGCAACAACTCCCCATCCACCACGTGATTGGTTGGGTCAAGCGAAAGGCGAGTATCCACATTAACGGGAAACAAATGGAGCTACAAAGCTGGACGGATACAGACGAGATTCCCAAAGCAATACTCGCACGGTTCGAGAAGGCAGTGAACAAGAGTAACACGGGTTACCTGACACTAGTAATGACAGAAGAAGAGGAGAAGCCGAACTCCAAGCTACCTGCAGCAATACATAGAGTTTTGGAGGAATACTAAGACATCATGCTGGACAATCTACCTGCAGGAGTGCCACAGGAGCTGACTCACTAGTACGAGATCATCAAAGAACCAGGTTCTAAACCAACCTTCCGTCCACCGTACAGCCTCAGCCCAGCAGAGTTAGGAGATATGAAGAAGCAGATTAAGCACCTACTCGATCGCGGCCTCATCTGACCCTCCAGATCACCTTACAACGCACATATCTTCTTCACTCCTAAGCCCGATGCTAATCTACTGATGTGCATCGACTACGTGCCTCTCAACAAACAGGCAGTAAAAAAATCAACACCCAATCCCACGTATAGACGCACTCATGGGCCAACTGCGTGGAGCAAAGGTGTTTTCCAAACCTGACTTGCGGTCGAGT